GCATGGGGAGTACCAATGAGATCAACTAACTGCTCAGCAGACATGCCCCACAGAGCGGAGCCGTAGCGCTGAACAAGAGGCAGCCAGTCAGGGGCAGGAGCACCAACCCCGTAGACCAAACGAACCGTGTCAGTGAGCTGAGCAAAGCACTGACCAGGGGGGTGAAACCGGCCACAAGGGTGGCCACGACGAGGGCCTGTCAGAACCTGGTAGGTGCAGGGAGTGTAAGCAGCACCGCGCTGGGTCTGACGCAGCCCCGACCCTGGAGCCAGCTGCTGCCGCTGCTGCTGCTGAGGCTGCTGGGAGGAGAGGGGCTGCTGGTGCTGCAGAAGCTGCTGCTGACGCTGAGCCTGGTACCACGCCGCTGCTCCACCAACCGGGGCAGGAAGTACAGGAGGCGACTGACGAACTCGGGCGTCGCCACCACCAGCAGGCGCAGTGGAGTCACCAGTCACTGCACGAGGCGCCTCTCCAGGCCCTGAACCTCCACCGCCGCCAGGCGCAACGCCACCTCCACTACCTCCGCCTCCACCTCCACTACCACCACCAGAACCGCCTTTCTTGCCACTCCTACCGCGGGACCGCGACGCAGTCGTAACAGCAGCTGCAGTCGCGTCAGTAGCGGCAGTGGCAAGTGAGGCAGTAAAGGTGGGTAACTGCGGGACTGTGCACCCGTGGAAGAGTGGGGGGGGCACAGCACCAGAGGCAGCGGCTACCGAGCGAAGGTTGTCGTGATAGTAGGTATACTGAGGAGCCATAGCTAGGGTTGACCTAGCTAGGCAAGAGAGAATGAAGGCAAAAGAGGACTGAACTAGCAAGAATGGGGATACAAATAGCAAACCCTAGAAGGGTTGTACTCGCTACAGAGCACCCCACTACAGGCTAGAGCATAATATTCTGACACACCCCCATAGCCAAAGTGGGGTGTAATCAGCAGAGGAAACAAAGCAGTACAAGCTCAGGGTGGATCACGATGTCACCACTCATTCTGAGCACAAGCAAGAAGCAATAGTTTAAGGTTCACAATTATGAGCAAAGCTAGAGGCAGTCACAAGGGGTCAAGTGAGGAGGAGGAGGGCTGGCGAGAGGAGAGTAGATAGGAGGCGACGACTGAAGCTGCAGACACACGGGCAACAGACGGCTCTGGTGCGACAACGTGGCTACCGGGAATGAGTGCCCCGGAGTACAGGAGTAACAGGCTCCGCGGCTAATATGCGCGGCAGGAGCAACGGACCCACAGGCGACGGCGCAACCGGCTCTCTGAGCTACCGGTGGCTAATCGAACCCCGGAATACAGGCGCTGCGGACGACACGACGGCGGCCTCCGCTCAACCTCCTCCAACTGTCCCACACCCCTCGACACACACCCCCTGCTTCAAACCCTAGCTCCACTCCGACGGTACCCCCCTTAGACCCCAAACCCTAGGCTCCCACACACCACCCCCCTCAGCGGCAGCTGTAGCAGAGGGAGACGAGGGAGGAGGAGGAGCAGGGAACGGCACACTGAAGCTGCACCCCCATACCCCCCACCCCAAACCCTAATCCAGGAGAACGGGCAGAAGGAGGGGTGGGGCGCCTTCAGAAGCACGGGGGACAGCGGGGAGGACAGGGGAAGCGAAGAACGGGCCGCCCACGGGCCTGGCACCGCCTCCCGAACCGCGCGCAGGCGGTCCGAGCCGCGCGCGGGCCTGGCGCAGCCCGTACGGGCCGCGCGCGGGCCTGGCGCAGCCCGTACGGGCCGCGCGCGGGCCTGGCGCAGCCCGTACGGGCCGCGCGCGGGCCTGGCGCAGCCCGTACGGGCCGCGCGCGGGCCTGGCGCAGCCCGTACGGGCCGCGCGCGGGCCTGGCGCAGCCCGTACGGGCCGCGCGCAGGCCTGGCGCAGCCCGTACGGGCCGCGTGCCGGGTGTACGGGCCGCGTGCAGGCCACGACGGGCGACGGGGGGCGACGCGCGGGTCCCCGTCGCCCGTCGCAGCGCCTCCCGGGGGCGACGTGCCGAGTGACGGGGCAGGAACCCGTCGCGCGCCTCGGGGCACACGGCGGGCAGAGAACCGCCGCGCGCCTCGGGGCGCACGGCGGGCAGAAAACCGCCGCGCGCCTCGGGGCGCACGGCGGGCTGAAAACCCTAGTTTCGACGCCGCGCACCACGGGGCGCGCGGCGGACAGGGAGTAGCAGTAGCAGCGGAAGCAGTGAAGTGGGCCCACAGGCCAGGAACGTTAAGCTCTAATACCATGTCGTAATAGTAGGTATACTGAGGAGCCATAGCTAGGGTTGACCTAGCTAGGCAAGAGAGAATGAAGGCAAAAGAGGACTGAACTAGCAAGAATGGGGATACAAATAGCAAACCCTAGAAGGGTTGTACTCGCTACAGAGCACCCCACTACAGGCTAGAGCATAATATTCTGACAAAGGTTGCTCTCGACGTCCTTGAGTGCAGACTCAAGAACCTCGACGGTGAGCTCACTAGGGTGCTTCAGCAGAAGCGCGTCGCGAACGGAGGCAAGGCGGTCAGGGAGGCTAGTGGCGATGAAATAGATAGTAATCGCCATAGGGGGAGGAAGCAGTGCAAGCTGTGCCTCAGTGCAAGCAGCGCGGTAACTAGCGTCGAGCGAGCGGAGGTGAGCGATCAAGTCAGCAGAGCGCTCAAAAGACGCTAGGTCAGGAAACAGGAACGGGAGGAACAGGCGGCCAAGAGAGACAGCAGCGGGAGTAGAGTAGCGGGCCTTAATCGCAGTGAGGTACGCAGCAGCGGTGCGAACCTGAGTGAAGTGAACCTCCTCAGACTCAGGGAGGAGGCTGCTGAGCGCGATGCAGGCCGCAGCGTCACGTGACGTCCAAGCCGTCTGGTCAGCTCGCTGAGTGGCAAAGCGGGCTCTAGCGGCGTCGTCAGGGGCAGGTCCTAAAGGCGTAGGGTCGGGGGTGCGCCCAGAGGGTCTCGCCTGCCTGGACCTGACTCTCTAACAGGCGGCGAGCGCGAAGAAGCCAGACTGGGAAATCGAGCGGGCGACCGTCAGCATCGAAACGAAGGACGCGAGGGGTCGCCATAGTGTGCAAACGGAATTGGCAGGGAAAGCAGGGCGCAGCGGCAAGGGAGAACGGGCAGGAAGAGCGGGCAAGAGCGGGCGGGTAGGTCAGGTGTGGCGGGCGCGCGGGTAGGGCAAAGGCGCCGGGCCTGGGCGACGGGCTAGGGCGCGAGCCAGGGCGACGGGCTAGGGCGCGAGCTGGGGAGACGGGCTGGGGCGCGGGCCAGGGCGACGGATCGACGGGCAGCAGGGGGAAACGCGGGTCGACAGGCAGTGGGGGGAAGCGCGGGTCGACGGGCAGCGGGGGGAAGCGCGGGTCGACGGGCAGCGGGGGGAAGCGCGGGTCGACGGGCAGCGGGGGGAAGCGCGGGTCGACGGGCAGCGGGGGGAAGCGCGGGTCGACGGGCAGCGGGGGGAAGCGCGGGTCGACGGGCAGCGGGGGGAAGCGCGGGTCGACGGGCAGCGGGGGGAAGCGCGGGTCGACGGGCAGCGGGGGGAAGCGCGGGTCGACGGGCAGCGGGGGGAAGCGCGGGTCGACGGGCAGCGGGGGGAAGCGCGGGTCGACGGGCAGCGGGGGGGGGGGGGGGTGGGGAAGCGCGGTTCGACGGCAGCGGGGGGGAAGCGCGCTTAGGGTAACGCTAGATCGGGCTACGCTAGATCGGGAGGAAGAACGAGCGGTAACGAACGAACGGGACTAGATCGGGCCGGCACTAGGCTCGGGCAAGACGGGCGAAACGAGAGCTAGGATCAGGCTCGGGTGGTACGATCGGAGAACGGAGAAACGGGATCCCACAGGATCCTAACCTAACTGATACCATGTCAGAATGAGGAATGAATGATGCATTGATGTTGGTTGGGGTACATATAGCTAACCCTAAGTTTTGTACCCCCTAAGACAAACCTCACTATAGGCTACAACATTTGACAATGCGGTAGCATAGGGTCTGGGTTAATTAACTGTTGCGCATTTCGATCATGGTATACATTCATTTCACTACACTGGACGTATACCCAGATATATATTATATTCACCACAGGAGCATATGCATTGCATTTATGCACTTCTGTTTAATATTTAATTCATCATATCCATCATTATATTTCATCTATGCATAACATCATTCCGCATAGCATATACATTATGGAATAAAAATTCACTCGTTCACAGTACCGGTAATATCATTTTGGCAATCCATAGAGTCAGGGCAAACTAGGAAACGAGAAAGAATTTAGTATGGCATGTGCTAAAATGCCATGGCTAATACAGGAATCAAACACTTAGCTCTCATTCGCTAGGTTTTTTTTTTCATTTTTTTTTAGATGATGAAAAAAAATTGTACATAACGATTGTAATAGGTTGCTTCGCAACCCAAAAAACTATCTTGAAGTTTGATTTCTTGATTGCTTTGGTGAGTACCTAGGTTTATACGGGGTGGTTGAAGGGGGGAGGGAGCACGTGTTATAGTATTAACATATATATACATTAAAAACGTTCTAGATAGCATTCATCATCGCCACTACCACTCTTGGAGCTCAGCGTCACGAGCAAATGTATGTCTTGCTACACCATCCAAAGCAAACCTGACCTCCCGCATACCAAAACTCAACGGTGAGCCCACTTTCCCATGCCCCACAACCAAGAAATAATGCAGATCGCACGCACTAGGCAGGTGATGGTAGCATGCATTTGGAAGCCGGTTCGGCCGAATCTCCAAAACCGACGACCCAGATGGCATGAAGATCATATTCGCCAGCCCAGCTCCATGTGGCGCCACATAAGCAGCCGCCCGATTGAACAAAGCCTTGCCTTCCAAAACGGGTAATGAACCATCATATATGACCACTCTCTCTGGTGTGAACAGCTGCTGCATTGCAGAAAGAAGGGTCTCAAACCCAACCAATCTCCTTCTGTCACTTCCTGACCGTTGTCTCTTTCTGGCAGCTGGTGCATTCGCTCCTTAGTCCATGCCTCCAGCTTTAGTTTTCTGTTAGCACCATTAGCGGTAGGAGTACCCACAGCACCAGCTGCCTCTTGAATGGGATCGCGAATGTCCCATGCTTCGGAAAACATGGGAAGTCCATTCGGTGGAAGGAGGAAGCGGGAGCGGAGGGTGCGCCAGAGGCTCGGGCTCGGATTCCCGCAGGTCTGGTAAACGGGTTGGTACAGCCTGGAGGTTCGGTAAAGGGTGGTGGTGTCTTGGTCCGGGGTTATCAGGAGATTGAGCTCGTAAGGCATGACACCAATCACATGCCTGAGCACCCGGCGATAAAATGCGAGCTGAGTTTTCTTGAACGCAATAGGGATGTTGGGATGGGCTTTAAGGAAATCCTTCATTATGTAGAATTGCGGGAGGAGGTCGATGAGTGAGTGGTAGTAGTTACCTCCGTGGTGGTACACAAATGAAACGAGTTCATTGACTTGTACCACCCTGGAGTCCTTTGCCTTGTAGTGAAACTGCACATAATGAAGCAGGAAGCCAGTAAACTGAAGTCAGAATAAAGGCAAACATGAACCATTTTGCAAGGAAGGCGCGCTACAGATCCCCCAACTCAGTCATTCTCTCACCTGTCCATCCGCATGACACCCCTGTCTGCTGAAGTGCATTGATTCGTTAAAAAACAGTCCCGATGCAGACATAAGCACGCCTTTCATCTCAAAATACTGTGCAACGTAGCGCTCGTGAGAGAAATAGTCCTGCCTGTGCCCGTGCTTGCACAGTAATCCCGCTGTCCCGTCTCCACCTGTCACAGTAACACTCGCCACAGCAGCTGCTGCAGCTACAGCAGCAGCTTCTTTAGGTGTCAGTTTCGTTCTCCCAGGACAGTTCTCGGGCTGCCCGGGAAAAACAATTTCCTGGTCAGCAAGCTCTGGCTGGTGGCATGCCCGAAGGTTGGGGAAATGTGGTCCGCAGGAGCCCATATCCGGACAGATGGCCCCTTGGCATTGCACCTTGATTTCATCCGGGTAGGTCTCCCTGTGATAGTTGAGGAAGGCACTTGCGAGGTCCTCTCGGTTCATGTCTCTTTGGAGCGTGACTGTAGGAAGTGTGTTGCTATCCCAGGCGACCAACTCGGAAGGGAGATCGGAAGGGAGAGCGGAGGCTTGATCAAGGAGCCCTGCAAAACAGTAGAAACAGAAAAGGGATGAACAGACAAAGCGATGGACAGACGAAGGATTGAACAGACGGAGGCAAGAACAGACAAAGGGATGAACAGACGAAGCGATGAACAGACGAAGGGATGGACATACGAAGGCATGAACAGACGAAGGGATAAACAGACGAAGCGATGGACAGACGAAGCGATGGACAGACGAAGGGATGAACAGACGAAGAGATGAACACACGAAGGGATGAACGCACGAAGGGATGAACACACGAAGGGATGAACACACGAAGGGATGAACACACGAAGCGATGAACGCATAACACAGATTGAGCTCTTGAGTCCTGGACTGGAGACAGGTAAAAGAATAACTTGCATATCATCCAGAAAGACAGAACTGGCTCAGGAGGTCTACATTTGAGGCGCCTCAGAAAAGGCCAGAATAGTCCAGAAGGTTAAAGCGGCACTCAAACATACTCTCTGTATATTTCAGCGTACAATACACAACTGGCTGAAGACAGGAAAATGGTGCCCCTGAGATTTACTAAGAAGCTAAATATAACTCAGCACAAGCGCCACTCAAGAGTCGGGATCGTTGCCAATGCAAGTCAATCGTCTTACAAGAGCCATGAATCTGGGAATGAAGTCTAAAATGATGCAAACAACTCTAATTAGGCTGCACTACGGGGAGCTAAAGCGGCGTGTATCACTTACCAGCAACGAGGGTAACGGCCATCAGTGGCACTACATGGTTCAGTCGGCTCGGCGGTAAGACGGAGGCTCTCACATGCTTCGACCCTGGGAATCTCTCCAGAGACGCCATTAAAGGGCTTTATCACCTCGGAGGTGTTTCGAGGGGTGTACTCAGAGACTCTTATCCAAGTTTTGAGAAATGGCAAAGCTTACGGGTGCCTGTTAGTGTCTCCAGTGGTTCGCTTTCGTCTAATCCCTCAATCACGCGTCAAACATTCTCCTTCGGGAACCTCTTCTAGTACCTCAGAGATAGTGCTTCTGCCATGTTCCCGTGTCGAAGGACCTGAGCAGTCTAGGGACGGCCTTAAAAAGCCTTTTCCCCCACCTTCCCCCCCCCCCCCCCCCCCCCCCCCCTCCCCCCCGCGCGCCCTCTCCCACCCCACCCCCCGACGAGGTCGTCGGAGGGGAGTGAGAATCAACCCATGGCGGCTTTTCAACCCATGGTCGCCGATCATGATGTTGCGACGAATCGTCGGCGTTGCGGGCGAGTATTGTTCTACCCTAAACGCCTGACAGGCGCGACGGTCGAGGTCGCCACGAGCCGAAGTCTCGTCTCGCGAAGCACTTCTCTCGTCTCGCCATTCATTGGCGCGTTGGGCTTCGAAGGCCCCTCGCCATTCATTGGCGCGTTGGGCTTCGAAGGCCCCTCGCCGCCGCCGCACTCCCGTTCGCGCAGCCGCCACATGGGTGGGGTGGGGGGGGAATGGGGGGTGGGGGGGGGAACGTCTTAGCTGAGCTCTGAGCTGCTGCTGTGGTATTTGCATCGTGCAAGCGGAGTGTCTCACAGATGCATCCGTAGGTGCGGTGACCGGCTCAGTCTGACTCTTTGGGTCGTTGGCCAAGTCCCAAATCCGACGGCCAGAAATTAATCAAACTTGTCAGGCCAATCTCGATTCTGCTGAGTCGACTCCGAGACGGAACAGAACCAGGCCCGTCAAATGAGTCCAGATCAGACGGCTATCGCCACGTCGGCCTCCAACCCGAATCCCTGGAGCAAGTTTCTCGCTCGGGGCTAACGTCAGCATTCGCTCCAGCTTTGCTGGAGCTCGGTGAGAGGCTGTGGGTGGGAAGGGGTTTGTCCTGATCATCACTGCCGTGATGTATTTCCTAACAAGTCAATCCATTCAACTTGAGCGACAGACATTAGGCTGGGTGTTGCCTGCTAGGAGAAACGCGTGCTGGTGGAGGGTAAGTGCGGCGTTACTACACTCAAGCGTGGGTGGGTGACAACAAGAGCTGAGTTCAGCAGAACGGATCGCAAGTTCCGAAGCGAAAGTGGAAGCGATCGTGCCTGTTGCTGCGGTCTGACTCACAACGCCTCCAGGCTGCTTCTGTTTGACTGTTCACTGCACGGCACGGCAGCCATGAAACAGAGGATCGACCAGCGCACTGCAGGTGGGACCTGAAACTCTAGTGGAATGCTAGCAGCAGGATGTATTTCTACTTTGCTGACTGTTCCGCAATCTCACGCTTTCAGTTTTCCGTCTTATCTGACTGAACCTCCTGGTTTATGAGTCATAAATTATGACCGAACGCCACCGCTTCCCATTCTCGCTCAACTGGGTGGTTCCCCACTCAAACCTCGACTCTTCCCCACTTAACCTTTTTGTTTCCCACTGAACCTCGTCTCTTCTTACTTAACCTGTTTGTTTCTCACTCAACCTCGATGTTTCCCATTCTTGCAGCCGCTCGGCCTTCCCTGCGGCACACCAACCAATCGCATCGCAGAAGCCGGAGGAAACAATGGAGGGGAAAATAAGGGGGTGTCCAGCGCGTACATTTTCCGTACGGTACAGTTCATCGAGTGCGGAAATCTGTAATGCGTCACGGTTCAAAACGGTGCAATTTTAAAACCGCTGTGCACCTCCTGATATCTTTTCAAACCACGACAGATGAACTGTATAGTACCTGTAAATGAACGCGCTGGACACCCCCTAACCGTTGGTGCGCAGTCCTGCTGGTTTGGGAGCGAAACCTTTGAAAGTAACGGAGCGGCGAAGACAGTGGTTTTGCGGTGTGGTGGGCGCAGTGCAAGGCCCTGTCCGACTGGCGCGTCAGGCACAGGCTCGGGTTGGGGCGGGACTCGGGAATCCCAACCATCGCAGTTCCCCACAGACCAGGGAGAAAGTTTTCGCGAGCAATCAGGGGAGCTTCTGCTTCTTCAAGCGAAAGTGTGACACGTGACGAAGACTTTCAGCGCTGAACGCGATGATGATTTTGCGACGTGCGAGCCTGTGTGTTCTGTAACTGTGTTGCTCTTCAAGAAAGTCAAGACAGCATAAACAACCGAGCCAGGACATGCGTGAGGTAGGTGAACCTACCATTTCAGGGTAAGGCATTGCCTCAATCGAGGGAGGAGCAATTTCCCTATCCCACACATACACTACCACTGTATAGTCTATTTTTACTCAGTAAAAAAAACACTGTTCTTTTTACTGAAGCAGCCGCGTCATTAAACTATGTGAGCAGAATGAATATAGGCTCTGAATGAATGTAGGCAGATGAACTTGAATTTCTAGTCTAATTTAGCTGATTCGAGCAGAAATATACGAGGGAAACAACACGCACGGCTAACGGTATGCCATACTGTGGAAGTCTCTGTACCAATTTTTCTCACATACTTTCCCCTCAACCCTCTCCTCCACCAACCCATCCCCCTCCAGCTCCCCCCCTCCTCCCTCGGCCCATTCCCCCTTCCCCCTGCACATACGAGGCTGTTTTGAATGTAAAAGTAGGCAATAAGTACATGCCTTAAGCATATTAACAAGACGGATGGAGCAGTGGGTCACGGTTGGCATCCTTATAAAGGGGATATCTTGACCGAGTCTTGCTGAGGGCTGCATACCTGCACGAAGTACACGCAGACGAGAATCTTGTGCGCATCGTTTCTATTGTTGGCGTGGGGAAGGAAAGTGGGGTTGCTTGTGAATTTTGATATTTTAAGATTAACCGAAGGATCTCCCATAGCGCACCACTTAATAACGAAGCAGCGCACTTGTATCAGTACCGCGTTAGCTCATATAGAGCCAGGGCTTTTAGGCTCCCTGACCCCCCAAAAAAAATTCCCATATAGTCTGAAGGCACTTCGGCCAGATAACGGGCAATCTGATTGCCCAGAGATGAGAAGATCCGTTGCATAAGGGTTGCCTTTCAGGGCGCGGTGCATAGTTGCTCAACACAACTTCTTGAACAAGCTGTTTAAGAAATAACAAGGGTTGAAAACGGCGCGTATTATTTGCAAGTCGGTTCCACGCTGCGCATTGCGGGACTCTTGACCATTCCATACCTCAACGAGGTTTTGACCAACTTTGCACCGCGCTCTTTTACACACGTACTTGTACACGGAGCAACCGAGTGGGCGAGCTGAAAGAAACCTGTAGAAACCGCCAACACCAGAAACCTGATGCCCGAAAAGGTGTAGATAGGTTGAAAATTTCTGCTTCCATCTCTGCTGCCTTGATAGCTGAAGGGGGTGGGGCGGGGTGTGTTGTTGGCTGGCGGAGCGGGAGAACAGATCCCGCCGCCTCTCTAGTGCGGTGTCATTTGTCGTCTGGGGCTTCCAGGAGCACGAGAAGCTGGCCTTGTGGTAGCCTTGGCTGCTGCCACTCTAATCGGGCCGAAGAAGTCCCTCTCCTCCCGAAGCCGGGGGCCCGAAGAACCCCGATGCCTTCGGCGTCGGTACCCCCAGCACGCGAAGCAGGCCCAGGCTGGCACTGGGGCACGCGGCCAACCCCTTAGCGTGATTTCGGAGGGCCGACCCTTCGGCCCCTGCCCGGGACGCCGAGGCACCGACTGCCTGCCTGGGACCACCGATGACGCACCCCCACCCGAGCGACGCACCTCCGTGGGGACCATCTGACTCGGCCAGCTGCCCAAGCCCAGCCCGGCTGACTCAGCACGGGCACGGATGGGTTGCTGTCGCCCGAGACCTTTGCGACGTCGCACGCGTGGTCGTCCGGCGCGCGTGCGGCGAAATTGTTACGGATGCATGGTTTTCGAGTTACCGATTTTTGTTGAACCCTACCCGAAAAAGCTCACGAACATAAACAAAAGCGGAACAAACCAAAACACGTACTCCAACATGTGCACACGGGAGCTACACGTGGCAAATCCACATGCTCAAATTAAACGATGCACTTTGCTACGAGGACGCGAGACCAAACCGAGCCTCGTCCACGCTTCGGGGACAGTTCCGGCCTGAAACCATTGGTTCGCGTGGGCCCGAACCTACGGCGCGTTTTGCTTGCAGGGTGCTCGAGAAATCGGTTATATGGCCTTGGTGGCCGTCATTTTTCATTTGTGCATTCGCATTGTGGTTTTCATTTTGTTTTTCGCATCTCAGCTCTCCTCTCCTTCCCTTCACGCAAGCCTTCTGCCAGGTGAGTAATGGGACGGGGTCAAGGTGGGGGGGATGTGGGGAATCGGGAGTAGGGGTGGCCGGGAGGGTGGAGGTCGGGTGGTAGTTTGGAAGGGTCGTGGTGGAATTGTCGCTGGTGTTTCCGTGGTTGTTGGTCGTTTTCTCGCTCGTGTTTTCGTGGCTTAGGCAGCCCTTGTATTCCGCGGAACCGTCCCTCTCGCACTTTCGTGTCAGAGGTGTTAGCACCACACACCGATACAGGGCGGTACGTTTCGCGGAAATTTTGTAGTGTTTATTATCACGCTTACGCGAACGTTTTTGGCCGACGAATGTGAGTGGTTGCCTTACATAAGAGTTTTCGCGGATCTTGTAGAGGTATCGTATGAGCTTCACGGTTAACGCAACTTTTTCGTATTGCATTCAATGGCGTTTTCGCGTTTGCTGGTTTCGCGTTTGCAACAGGATGTTACGTGAGAGGCGCGCGCTTTACGACCGCTTGGAGAGTTTCAACAAAGTGGACGTCGCAATGGAAGCGGGCGGTGCGTCCGTCGTGCTGACGGAAAAAGACAAGGAATCTATTCTGGATGAGAGCGTCGAGTACACCCCCGCCGCACTGGATTTCGCATGCCTGTAGGTGTTTGCGGGCGACCTCATGTTTCAACCTCGATTAATGTAGCTGATATTCGCGGGTGTGCATCGTGCAACTTCGTGTTGGCGAAACACGGTGGCGACCGCAGGGAGTCGACACGAATTGTCACATCGTCGGAGCAGGGCAGTTTGTGGCTCAAGGACTGCACGAAGATAACGTTGGACTGATTGCGAACGGTGGTTCCTCCCGGTCCCAGTTCGGGCTGGACGAAAACCTCAGGTGGCGTGATCGGCACCTCTTCGGGGTTGATCCTGATAATTTGGCTCGGATCTATCGGCGTGGTTTCTCCGAGCTGAGGGCCAAGATTCTGTTCCGAGATTCCACTAGGGCCAGCTGCGTGCACTGGTTGACTCGCGAAGGTAGCTTGCGGGCTAGGCGAGACAGGTACACGTGTATCCGTGGTGGGTGCAGGAACTACATTCGCTGTTCGTGCGCGAAACGCTTGAGAAGGTGAGGGAACCGTGTTGCGGGTGAAAATCATGTGGCGTAAACCTGCGTCCTGGTATCTTTCGAAAGGATAGTGCTCTGATGGCGGCATACCAGGCACGTTCTGACCCACGAAGGTCCTGTGTGCGGACGCCACTGGCACCCCCGAAGGTCCTGCTGCACGCGCTTGTTGTACATTTCGCGTGTTCGGTGTTTCGCGGTTGGCGTTTCCGGGATTCTGAGTTGTACCCCACGCGAAAACCGGCGCGAATGGCACACGAGCAGGTGGAGGGTGAGATGCCGCAGGGGTTTGGTTCTCGGTCATTCCCCAAGCGTAACCTGTGCCGAGCGCCACGCGGGTGTGGTTCAAAGCGGCCGTGGCAACCTGTTCCACTGCAGTAGGGCGCGATAAGTTTCGCGGATCCGCTGGTGGTGGCGCGTAAGCAGATGGGTTGCCGTACGTCGTAGGTGGTTCGATTGGCCCTAGGTAAGCTGGACGACGCGAATTTCCGTGCTGTGGTCGAGTCATCCTTGCTCACCGTTGCATCGCAGTTTCGCGTCGTCCCTGCTACTGCGCGTGATTATACTAAAATCCACGATCGCGAATCCTAACGCGGAAGTATCCTATGGTGTTCTACCCCTCAGAAACGACTAAGTACTAGACGGAAATGTTTATACGCATAGCAGATGGGAAAACAACAACAGGAGAAATGGAAAGGCCTTGAAATGTGAACTTTCAAGGCTTTATACGCGCGATTTCGGAGATTGCGTGTGGGGAGCGAAATGTTCCTCTGACCCTTGATTGTTACGTTGTGTTTCTGGAATGCCACCCGGCATTCTCGTGGGTTTGCTGACGACTGTCGTGCGGTGCATGCCCGAAATGCGGTTCCCGCGCGTGGCTTTCGCGGCCCCGTCAAGTCAGAGTGTGCCCTATGTGACGTGGGACCTACATCTATGTTGGTCACGGTTTCGTGCCACGATGGCGTCGTGCACCAATCATTGCAACACATGCGGAACTTGGCGAAACGTTAACGAGTGTCGCTCTGCAACGAAAGACAGCCGCGTGTCCTTACTGGGGATAGCAGTTTCGTGACACTAAATTTCCGGGCCTATGAGATCGTGCCGCGTAAGTTTGCTATCGCGCTGTACGAACGACACGTGGTGCGCGGACACGGAAACGAAGCTCCCCGCGTTAACCCCCTGAACACGTGGTCCAATGGGACGATTTGTAACCCGGATGTATTCCCGGGGGATGTCGGCCCGAAGGAACTTCGGAGCTCCCAAGGGCCAACTCCGAAGCAGGAGGGACTTCGGAGCTGGTGGCGCGGATGGCCGTCTGACGTCACTTTTCCCGCCCGCTCGCCCGGGTAATCATGCGCGGATGACGTCATTTAGTCACTGTTCGTATGTATTATCCAGGAGCATGAGCGACGTAGCCGCCGCAAAATACGTGATAGATGGGCGGGTTCGCCGTCCTTTTTTAGGTCATTGTATCATGGTTACATCGTCGACAGCACCTAGGGGGAGCCCTCGATAGTATTCCCTTCGCGAGTGGTGATGACCTAAACACCATGAGGCGAGGCTGATGGGACAGGGCTGGAACAAGGCGTGTGCATTTTCTGTTCGATCCAATCCGTCGTTAAATTTGTACAACACTCGACGAAGTACCACTTAGTAACGGTCTGGGGGAACGGCACTTAGCCTGCGAGTGATTTGAAACTACTGCGCTAAACACCAGTGCCATTGTGTGCGGCTGTTGTGAGTGCGTGTGAATACACCCCCCAAACCTGTCACGAGGGGAGTGTACACGCGTCGCCAACCAAACGTTGTGTCGCCTTTTTGGTTGTGGCGCCTTTTTTGTCAAGAAAAATGCTTGACAAACCGCTCCTGACCTGACTAAGCGTCAAAGGCCGTCGCGATGGCGAAAGCTTGTGCGAACTTCGTGACTCTCCCCTCACATTTTCGGCTGCAAATCCGCTCATGTGACCCTATCCTCCCGACCGCTCACATTCATTTCGAAAGTGACTGTGGGCCATTGGCCCTACACAAATGCACAAGAAATTGGTTATAAACGAGGACGAGCATATTCCATCAGATTAGGTGAGCATTAGCTGTCTGTAGCAACCATTTGTGCGACTCTGAGTCCCTAGGGCCCAAATGGTTGCCTGGTGGTTGGTTTGTTGCTGTCGAACAGAACCACTTGAGTAGATAACTGCTGTGCTCGTTGGGGGTAGCCACTAACCCCTTCCCATCTCCCAGGCTGGGACCCTTGGCAACTTTTCCTCCCCGCCCCAGGTTGAAATCAGCAAAGAAGCCATGTCTGACGCATCGACAACGATCCCGAAAGAGGCTGGTTCTATTCGCAAGGGCGAACCCCTTTTCATCAAGGGACGGCCTTGCATGGTACGCGATGAGGGATTATCACGCGCCTGCTTGCCTCTTTTCTGCAGAAGAGCTCAGGTCGTTTATGATTTACGAGTTTGTCGTTCTTTATGGTGAAACATTCTACAGGTGGTGGAGATTTCTACCAAGGTTGGTGCAAAGCACGGTCGCACGGCGTGCCATTTTGTGGGAACTGATATTATCACCAATGAAACTGTGGAAGATACCGTGCCGTCTACTCACATTTGCGACGTGAGTTTGCTTGCAAAGCGGTGTTGTTAGTCGTGCCGCCTGTTATTCTTAACCAAAATGTTTCTGGGTTTTCAGGTTCCAGTCCTTTCTAAGGACGACTATCAACTCGTATCTCTCGATGATGATGGCTTCGTAAGTGTCCATGTGATCGTGTCATGGTATTTCCTAGCTTTTTGTTTCGGCGTCCTGATATTTGGCAAAGTGTTGCCTCAGGTAACCGTCACGACGCCAGAGGGTGATATAAAGACCAATCTTCACCTTCCGACCAATGAGGCTCTCGCCTCCAAGGTATAACATCTTTTGTAAGGGCTATTTTTGTTATGAATGAACTTGTCAGAGTGCGCAGATATCGAATAACGAGAATGTTGAACTACCGAATGCCTGAACAATGAAGTAGCGAGGCCTAAATAGGGGAAAACCTAGCTAGGCGGGGATGGTGTGGTAGAGTTGGCTCGCGAAGTGTCGCGATTGGTGCGGAGGCGGCTCGGTGAGGTTGGGATGCGAAATTGTAGGCCGAACCAGTTGGTCGCGTGGCCCTCGGGATGGCCTCGCTATCGAGCGCCTCAGTAAGGATTTGTAAATCCTTACAATTTTCTCTTCTGTAGCGTGTGTTTCATGGCGTTCGTAAATCCGCCTCTGAATCATCTTGCAGATCAAGAACGGACTTGAAGAAGGCAAGGAACTTGCGGTGAGAGTAATGAGCTATACTGGTGAGGAGGTAATTTACGCTGTTAAAGACCTGACAAAAAAATAGGGGGTGCATTGGACTACTAGATGGTTTCAGATAGTTGGAAGTTGTTTATGGTTTTGTATGTTCTATGATTCACAACCTTCATGTAACTTGGTTTTCATACACTATGCTCTGTCTCAACTTATAAGGTTGCATGTTAGGCTACAGTGGAGTAATCTTAGGGGACTTCAACCCCTTCAGGGCTGCTAATTTGTATCCCAACCTCCCTAGAGAACATCATTCCGCTTGCACACTTCTGAGATGGTATCGTAAAGTTCATACCCTAGTCTAGCCCGCCTACGTGTCAGCAGCAGCGCGCCTCACTAAAACCGTGCACCATCCAGCAAGCTGCGCGCGCTCGCACCTGAAGCAGCACGCCCCTAGCCAGCAACTGTGCGTGCCCCTGGCTGAAAGATACCGGTACAAGCAAACGCTGGAAAGTAATAGGGGTCATCTTGGCCAGCCAGGAACCTCAACATGGTGCGGTGCGGTATAAGCAGGTGAACATCCTCCCTCCCTCCCCTCTCATCCCTTCCTCCCCTTCCCCCCTCAACTTCCACGCATGAGGGAAATCTTTCGAATGTAGTAGAAGTTATGGCTAAATGCCAGAAGCATATCAACAAGACGGATGGGTCAGCGGGTCACGGTTGACGTCCTTATAAAGGAGATATCTTGATCGGGACTTACCCAGTGCTGCATACCTGCACGGCTCAAGCACGGGAAACGAGAAAACATGGGTGCTTAGAATGGATGGATGGAGCAGCGGGGCGCCATTGACGTCCTTGTAAAGGAGATATCTTGAGCGAGTCTTGCCCAGGGCTGCATACCTGCATGGCTCAACATGAGGGAACACAGCGAGGAGAAACACATGGGAGCTGAGAAATAGGTGTGATGAGAAAAGAAAGAGAATACAAAGTATGGGTGTTGACAAACAGGTTTAACGCGAAAACAGGAAATAAGAAAAATGGGTGTCTATAAACTTGTGCGACGAGAGAAGAATGAGCGTTTTAGAAAACTTCATCAATTCTCGTTGCAGCTGAGACAAAGTAGAAACGGGCAGTTCACTACAGATACTTACCACTAGGGAGTGACGATTCATGGTCCATCAATCACCCATGAGATCCATGACACACTCATGTTAATGCTATCATGCAAAGCTGTGAGGTAAGGTGTCCTCACCACTGGGGAACAAAAGGAGCCATCCAGATTGCATCGCCTGCTTGAACGGGATACCTGCAGGCACAGAGTGAAGTGAAACAAACTCGCACTTATTGACTACATGCTTATAAGATGAAGCTTCACATGCTGGGTTCAAATCAGTTGCGTGTAGCGATGGTGTTTTTGAGACGTCTCAAAAACACCCTCGCTACAGAGTGAAACAAAATCGCACTTATTGGCAACATGCTTATAAGATGAAGCTTCACATGCTGGGTTCAGATGAGTCGTAGTGTTTCAAATCAGCCTCGTAATTGCCTCACTGCAAAGCCCTGCAAACACAAAACACATGCACCAAATTTCACCGTCAACAGCTATTGCCTCACCAGCTATTGACTTGCCAGCTATGCCTTGCCAGCTATTGCCACGCCAGCTATTGCCTTGCCAGCTATCGCTCACGCACTTTTGCCTCACCACCTTTCGCCTCGCCACCTTTCGCCTCACCACCTTTTGCCTCACCAACTTTCGCCTCGCCACCTTTCGCCTCACCACCTTTCGCCTCACCAGCTATCAGCCAAACGGTAAATTCCCCGTCCTTCCAGCAGCAGCAGTCCGTGCTGATTGTAATGCACTTCCTGTTATACAGGCAGGGAAAAAAGGAGGTTACACGTTAGGGAAAGGAGGGAAGAATATAGGAAAAGGGAGGGAGGGAGGGAGGGAGGGAGGGAGGGAGGGAGGGAGGGAGGGAGGGAGGGAGGGAGGGAGGGAGGGAGGGAGGGAGGGAGGGAGGGAGGGAGGGAGGGAGGGAGGGAGGGAGGGAGGGAGGGAGGGAGGGAGGAAGGAAGGAAGGAAGGAAGGAAGGAAGGAAGAGAGACATAAAGGGCCAAGGGCGGGAGGGACAGAAGGAAGGTCACATAAAAGACAAAACATGAGTGGATTCAAATAGAACATGCCACATAGAACATGAGTACGCGACTACATATTTTTGAAAGTTCTTAAGTTGAGTGAGGAGTGTACATACGAAAGCAACCACATAAGAACAGGGATGATCAGCTCAATATTACATTGACTACTACCAGGCCTTCACCTTGAGAGGATGCGTCAGGACACAATTGAATTATCACTTAGAGAAGGTACACTCACCTTCACATTGAGAAACTCCCCCGGCTCAAAGTCCATGATCTGCGAAAAGAGCGCAGCACACCCAGTGTTAGATGTAGAGGTTGCTTGTTCGCACCAAAAAAAAAACAAACAAACAAACAAACAAACAAACCAAAGAAAAAGGTTGGGGGGGGGGGAGTGGGGGGGGGGAAGAAGAATGTAGATATGGGTTTCGTCGGCATCAAGTGGCAAAGCACAGAACAAATAAGGCCAAACATTGCTGTTCGAAACAACCTCTTACATGAATGTTGAAGTCATAGGGAGTGGTAGTGGGAAGCAGCTTGCGCAGAGCAAAGACCTGAAAATGATGCATTCAAGAGAAAACCACAGGAATGACACCGCAGAACACCGCACCGCACATTCAGTCGCAAAACGGATGTGAGTAATGAGTAATTTGAGAAGCGCCAAGTAGGAGAACGATGTGAGCTGGCAGTGAGTCAGTGACAACAGTGTGGGTTGCTTTCGCAATAGAAACCGACAACCAAATAGCAAGTACAGGTGGCAGCTCAGCCAGTAATGCAAGGCGTCAGGGAAAGGCACAAGTAAAAGCGAAAACGGCCCACAAGTGGAAGTAAATACAGAGCACCAAGTAGATTCGAAAGCAAAACGCTGGTGAAAAGCAAAAGCAAAACGCAAGCAGAATGAAAACAAGGCACAACTGCTAGTGACAGCAGCACAACACACCTCCCCTGGGACTGGCAGAATGAAAACAAGGCACAACTGCTAGTGACAGCAGCACAACACACCTCCCCAGGGACTGGCAGAATGAAAACAAGGCACAACTGCTAGTGACAGCAGCACAACACACCTCCCCAGGGACTGGCAGAATGGGTTGCTTGTGCGTCTGTCCCAACACTACCGCCAACCCCTCTGAACCGCTCTCCACCTCTGTAGCTGTAGCGAGGCCCGATATAGGGCAGTACCTGATGTTGGTGGGGACGCAGGTGGGCAAGGGGGACGGTAAGAAAAATAATTTTGAGTTGAGTCATAACCGCTCGCTCTCCTCCCCTGGGGTTGTCTGTAGCGAGGCCCGATATAGAGCAGTACCTGATGTTGGTGGGTGGGGTGCAAGGGGTTTGGGGGGAAGAGGCAGAGGTGGAGAGAGACGAGGACGGCTTTTGAGTCTGCTTTAGAGTCGCCTCAAAACCCCTCGCTCTCCACCCCTGAGGCTGTAGCGAGGCCTGAGATAGGGCAGTGCCTGATGGTGGTGGGTGGCGGGCGTGGGGGTTTCGGGGGTGGGGGGGGGGGTGGGTGGGGGACACCTGAGGCTGTAGCGAGACCTGAGATCGGGCAGTGCCTGATGGTGGTGGGTGGAGGGCGTCGGGGTATCGGGGTGGGAGGAGACAGGGGGAGGAGGGGTGTTGGTGAGAAAAATAGCGTTGAGTTGACTCAAAGCCCTTCTGAAACTCTTTCCACACCTGAGGCTGTAGCGAGGCCCGAGATAGGGCAGTGCCTGATTTTGGTTGGTGGAGGGCGTGCGGGTTTCGGGGGGGAAATGGGGGGAGTGGGAGGACGACGAGGACGGGGGAGGAAGGAAGGAGGGAGGGAAGGAAAGGGAAGGCGGGAGAGGAAGGAGGAGGGGGAGGGGGAGGGGAGGGGGGGGGGTAAGGGGAAGGGAGGAGAGGAAGAGGGGAGAAGGGAAGGGATATTTGGCGAAAGGAAGGAAGATGAAGGGTACACATCATGTGGATTTCGGGTGAAGGGTAAGTTTATTAAGACAAAAACGAGTGTAGCTCGTGTACGGGCAAAGGAAGGCGTGGTCTGTTTGTGAAACTCAAGCGCCTGTTTGAGTGGAAGTTGGACTAAATCTCAGCTTTAGAGCATCGTGGTTGAAAGTACCTACATTCAATGAGCACGAGTGTAGCTCCAGTCTCCAGATGCAGAGGCCAAGGAGTGGTGCGCCCCATTCAGTGGCCACCCAGCCCAGCCCTGTACTTGTGATGAGAGTTGGGCTTCAAGCTCTCTTTTGGGCAAAGGGAATCTTACCTGCGTTCAATGAGAACGAGTGTAGCTCCAGACGCAGAGGCCAAGGAGTGGCACACTTCATTCAGTGGCCTCTTTGTTGGGCTTTAAGCTCTTTAAGGAAGGAGCCTTACCTTCGTTCAATGAGCACGAGTGTAGCTCCTGACGCAGAGGCCAAAGAGTGGGGAATGTTTGGTGGAAGATACACATAGGAGTCGGCCTGAGGCAAGGAGGTACAAGGGAAATTGGCACAGATATGTGATTCTTTAGTCAGCTCAAACATCAAATTCAGGCGCAGGGGCCAAAGAGTGGGGCGTGATCGGAGGCAGTCTGGCAGATACACATAGGAATCGTCCTGAGACAATGATGACTTAAAGCCTTTTGAGACGTCTCAAAAGTCGGAGGCTGATACATGTAGGAGTCGTACTGCGACAAGGATGATTTAAAGCCCAAGTGCGCACCGCAAGATCCTCCTGCCGAACAATGGAGCTTGTGCAGGTGGAGGCGCTCCCAGCATCGCCAGCTGTCGGGCACTCATTGGCTGCACCTCCCTTGTTGGTCTCTCCTGGAGTGCCGTACTGAATGAAGCTGACTTGCCCTGATACCACAAACACAAACCTGCAGCAACGGGGCAACTCAGGCAGGCAGGCAGGCGGCAGTGATCCACATTGACTGAATAAATCAACAAAGTGGATACGAAAAAATCACCTCAAGGAAACGAGTGGTTGCTGCCAGACGTTGAGGTGGTTTTTTAGGCGCCTCAAAAATCACCTCAAGGCAGGCTGCAGTGATCCATGCTGAATGAATAAATCAATGCGGGTGAAACGAGATGAGTGGTTGCTGCTGCCAGACAGCACGAAATGCTTGCACAAGGGAAATGCTATCCCCCTTACAGCGAAAAGAGGTAAAATTTGTCACAACATGCTGCCTCACATTCCAGTCACACAAGTCAACACATGCTTCTCATGTATTGAATTCTGCTACATAGATGTTTCTCATTTATGTGAACACTCACCTTGGAACATGCTTCTCGTCTGATCACCTGAATGCCTCTCCCCCACATGCCTCTCCCCCACATGCCACTCCCCCACATGCCTCTCCCCCACATGCCTCTCCCCCACATGCCTCTCCCCCACATGCCTCTCCCCCACATGCCTCTCCCCCACATGCCTCTCCCCCCCATGCCTCTCCCCCCCATGCCTCTCCCCCCCATGCCTCTCCCCTCCATGCGTCTCCCCTCCATGCGTCTCCCCTCCATGCCTCTCCCCTCCATGCCTCTCCCCTCCATGCCTTTCACCCCCATGCCTGCCTACGTCTCACCTTTCCACTCCAGCCACTGGAGGGGCGGAGGAGGCATTGCCTGGAACAGCGAGTGGAGCGAGAATAACATGCGGGGGAATAAACAGGGAGAGACGTGTCTGTCAATGTACACTTCAGTGCAGAAAGAGGAAGGAATTCACTTTTGAGAATTTTCAAAAGCGATTTCTATGTCAATGTACAGTACAGTGCGGTTAGAGGTTCAAATTGCATGTGCAAAGACAATCCCAGAGCCAATAGCAGAAATAACCAGATGTGAAGCGTGCTGAGTGCTGAAGCAGAGAGGGGCATTGATAACTTAGAGCGAACGAGAGAGGAGTTGGCACCTGAGAGCCGAAGCAGAGACATGGCGAAGTGTGCACCAATGGCAGGGGTAACGAGGTGTGCTGAGAGAGTGTTTTCCCTGCAGGATGGTGACGAAGGGTGAGAAAGGCCAGTAAGTTGCAAGCGCAATTTTCTCACGTGATCACAGTACGGTCCCTTGCCCCCATGCTGCGACTTATAAGTCGACTCAGGTCATATTTATCCTCTCAGAAGTCAGTTGATCTATATGAAACTCACCATCCGGGCAGTGGGCTAAAGACTCGGCTTTCCGGTGTGATCAGGGCGTGGTCCCTTGCCACCGCGCTGCGAGTAAATCCGGGCAGGTCTGAAAACGAGCAGGAAATCATTACAAACCAGTGAGGAAAAACATCAGTTGCGAACAAAAATGAGTGCAGAAAGCAGAAACGGCAGAAAAAATCACCAGAAAAAAAAAAAAAAAAAAAAAAAAAACCTAAGATAAGTGACACGCACCTTCCATGTGGACCGTGTCCAGGGTGGGTTCCAGAACCTTCCCATACATACCACTACCATTCCGTGGGCCTGAGAATACGGAAAGACAGGATGTAAGTGCGAAGAATGTGAATCAACACGGACCAAGCTAACAATAGAAAGTGACGACCGTCTTTGATAAGCGCAAGCTTAGTTTAGACGACAAACGATGCTCCATTTGGGTAGACAAAGGGCGAGTTCGCGCTTTCGTACCATCATCAGCGGCTTCGGAACTCTGCAGGATGATTGCGAACGCGAGGGTTGACACCGTTGCGACGAGCTGACATGCATGAAGGGCTTTCAACGACATGGTTTCACGTAGAGCTGGAAAAACGGCGTGGACACTAGAGGGCACACACTGCTAGATCAATGTGACGACTGATAACCTCCCGGTCCTGGGTGTGCTACAGGAGGGGAATCTTCTCATCTCTTAGCTAAAAACAGTCACTCGCAACAAGGAACGGGGAGTCGCGCTTAGTAGACGCTGAAAACGAGATAGCAACGTTGCGTTTTCCTCTTTACCCCTGCATTTTCTCAACAACCTACACTATGTATCCGACGCCGCTGGCCTTGTGACAAGCACCTTGCTCTCAGGTGAATGTGATGAATAGAGCTATCTAGTAAGTTCACCTATGGATCTGTCAGTTTAGAAGCCATTGTGCATCTGTTGAGGGATTGTTCCCGCTAAAATTTGATGCCACGTTGCGGATTTAGTTTGGGCATGTTACAATAAGATTTCAGCGTGGTGTCAGCCAAGTAACACGGTTCTTATGCAGAATTATCCGATCACACGGTACTGGAGCCTTGTTTGCTTCGAGGGACATTCGCGGTTCTTCGAGTGTCCTGAGCCACGAAAAATGAACCAGACGCGTATGACACGCCCTCGGCTCTCCTCTCCACAGCTGCACAAGACGTTTCTCAGTCCTTCGATGTTGTCCACATCATTCAATCAACATATCCACACTTTCCGGTTCAGCCTTCAGAGCATCTCCTCTCGCCCTTACCATCTCATAGCAGAAGACATCTGGTTTTACGCCTAACATCCCTTTTTGCTCGATCACGAAAATAAAAAGCCGATTACATAAGCACGCATCTGTTTCTGCTTGTCACGTGTACCATCTGCTGGGGGAGCTGGAAAAACTAACTTCACGTCCGTCATTCACGCGTCGCGCGTCGACGGAATTAGATTACTCAGAAGGTCATATTCTCAGGAAATGGGCAATCCAGGCACTGCTGCAGATGTCGAGAAACGCATTCGTGTCATGAGGATGATGATGAAGCTTCAAGATCTTAAGAGAAGAAGTAAGTCACCAGCTTCAGCGTCGTATAGTATCCCTCCTTGTGGATGTTCATAATCTTCTTGTGCAGTGGATGGGCTGGAGCTTTCCTCAGCTTGTGGAGAAGTGAACTTGACGGGACGGGCACTGAGCACAGTAAGTACCACAAGATCGTTAGTTTCTAAGTTCTTGCTCGGCGTTCACTCAAACAACTGCGCTGCAGGGTTCTATTATTCTACGCTTCCGGTTGTTCATGGTGGCTTCATGGGCTGTCGCCATTTTCCTTGCTGTCGGCTACGCTTTCATATGAGTGTAGTAACATAAAGAAGACAACACTGGTGCTTTTCTAGCTCCGTCCAACACACCTACGGGGAGAGGTCCTTTACAACAATTTACCAAGGGTTTTCTGGAAATGGGAGAGTGAATGTGGTGGACAGTTTGGCATGGCCTATGAAGCCAAGAACGGTACTCCTGCGTGCTGCTGAGGCATCACCAACTTACTGTAGCATATAGCTATCATTATGTAGGAATGATGAAAAAATACCTTCCGACAAAAAATTCCACTGGTATCATGACATATTCTGAGGAATCATCCAATGGGCCTGGCAGGGAGTTGCAGGACCTCTGCAATAGGAGGATAATCATACAGCTTAGGGGGAAACCCAGCTGAGATAATCCTTGGCCCAACCAACCATGCCGCTGCTGCACCGCCAAGCAGGCCACCAAGGTGCCCCGAATTATCAATGTTCCTCCAAAGAACGCCCAGAACCAGGTTCAACATGACTGTACTGCCTAAGCCGCGCAAATATGCTGAACCCCTCAAGCTCAGCTGCTTCTTGTGCCTCAGAAAGAACACCCCCAAAGCCCCAACAAGCCCAAAAATCGCTCCAGATGCACCTACAGAGGGCGAAGGGTTGAGCACGAGGCTCAATGCTGAGCTGGCCAGCGCTGACGCCACGTAGATGCCAGCCATGCGCCGGCCCCCAAGCAGCGACTCAGCATCCGGGCCGATTGTATTCAGCGAAAGGGAATTCACTACAAGATGTTGAAGATCAGCATGAAGCAACGCGGATGAGAATAGACGGTAGTACTGGCCTTGGTGGATGAGAGAGTTGACTTTTGCGCCGAGCAAGAGAAGGCGGTTGTTGGAGAGGATTTGGAGGAGAAAAGCGGCTGCGTTGACGGCGAGGAGAAGGTCAGTGACCTTGCGATGGGCTCTAGAACCACCAGGGGCCCAAGGCCAGATAGGCCCAGTGGAAGGGGGACCAGAGAAAAGGTTACTTGGGAAGCTGCTGTTACCACCGCCGTAGGATCCCCCGCGGAAGGCGTTGGTGGTGAAGGGAGAACGAGATTTGTGCGGTGAGGAGGGTCCGAAAGGGGGGAGTAGGTGAAGTGAGGATTGTAGGCCGGGTAGAGTTGTGGAGAGGAGGTGGGGGAGGGCGAGTGTGAGGGAGCGGAGGAGAAGAGTGAGGGAGGTGGAGAGTGATTGTGCGAACGGGTGAGGGGAGGAAGGAGATGTGGTGGTTGACGGGAGAGGAACGGATTGGAAGTTGCTAGACCCACCACCGCTGGTGGAAGCTCTGCTAACAGTATCTGTACCGGCACCAGGTCTTGTGCTCCTGCTTCTGCTGCTGCTGCTGCTGCTGCCCGCGACCTTCCATAATATTCTCCATTAAAACAGACTCCCCTTCGATCTCTCCTCCCCGACCCTCAATGGACATTCTCGATCTCCCGTTCGCCCTTCTGTGCACCCGAATTCTGGTTCGCTGGGACGCAGCGCGCTGATTGGCCAACGCGCGGTGCTGAAGTAGCAGAACCGCGGGAAGAGGCCCATAGAAATTGACCTCCCGGATTGATTGCGGCGCCAATCCTGAGAGCGACGTAGGTACGCGAAACGCGGAGGCTTGATAGGAGGATGAACCCGAGGAGGCTGAAACCCAGCTGGGTCCGCCTGAGAACATGATGACTCCTCCCAATTCCCAACGCTGTTTTATCTGCTTTATCCCTAAGTTGTCGCTGGGATGCCTAAATTACTAACTCGAATTCTGCTCTTCTCTCCACGTAATCCCTCGCTCCCGTATTTGAATTGAATCAGATTTCAACAAACAAAATAGAGCTCCTCGCGGCCCGTAGTCCAAACCCAGACGAGTGAACGTGAGAGTCAGTGAAGTAAAGCTTCCTTGCCAACGATTTATAGCCGAAGGGATGCGCGCCGGGAGCGTGACGCGGAGGCTTCTCGCCAGTTCTGATAGGAAGCACGACACAGTGCGGACGTTTTCTCTCCCAACCCAACACCAGACATCACCTCGCAAGGAGTTGAGGAGGTTGTGACATTTTGTTCAGAAGGATGCGGTTGTTTGAGTTGTGAGAAGGGTTCACGACGCTTTTGTACGGTTAGATACGCTATCGAGTGGTGCGCTGCGACGGTTGTTTGAAAGGATTTTGCAGTGGTTCGCTGCCCTCCGGAATCTGTGGTTAGGGATGAAACACGTGGCAGATTCACGAACTGGAGGAACCGTGTAGTAGCATCGATTTCGGCAAAAACACGTGACGGTTACCCTCTGCATTTCGCACATTGTACACTCGCAATCGGTTGCTACCGATTCGCAAGTTCGCTGCAGTTCTGTTCAGAGGCTTCTAGGTGTTAACAGCATCCGAGTGCGATCCTGGCGACAGCATCCGGGTTACCTGGTAATATCCTGCTCTTATCAAATGTTCATACCCAATCAAGCGATAGGTGTACTCGTCTTGGAAGGCAAAATCAGATCCGCGAGTGCACCTATGTAGCGTACACCCGAGTTCCATTCAACGATCACCGTAAAAGCCGGTTCATCCCACGCGCGTTTGCCGCAACCAGGATCGCTACGCCGTGCGGGCGATCGTTGCGAGGCTTCGAGCGTGTGCCCTTGTTCCTCCGCACGCGGCGCCCTGTTTCCCGTGCTCGCGTCGCACTCTCCTCTTCGTAGCGGCGGTTAATTTGCACTTCGAAGGCAGTGTCCAATACCGCGGCGCCTTCTATCTTGCACTAAAATTTGATCGAATCAAAAGTCACTTTATAAAACACTGATCGTTTCGTGCTCGTTTTACTGAAGCGTCGCTTGCCCTAATCCACGTGTCGGATAAGACACGTGGCGACGACGCGATGTTGAACGTGCTGACGGGGCTGCTGCGGGGGCGCGCCGTGCCGGCGAAGGGCTTTAAGTACCTGACGGCAAAGCGCGGCCCGAAGAACTACTATAAGGGCACGGGCAGCCGCACTATGGGACGGCACACTAAGAAAGGTGAGTGTAACGGGGTTGATGCAAGAGGTGACGTGAGGGGCAGGGTGGATGGAGGGTATAGTTGGGAGAGAGAAGAGGGGAGTGGGGGGGCAGGAAAGAGGTGTTTGGGAGGAAGGGGAAGAGGGGAGAGGGGGGGGGAAGGGGGGGGTTGAGGGGTAAGGGGGAGGGGGGATAGTGAGGGAGGGTGCGGAGAGGGAGGGAGGGAACAGAAAGGGAGGGATGTGAGGGAGGGAGAGGATATTGGGGTTGAACTGGGCGGGAGGGGGTTGGAAGCGGTTGGAGAGGGTTGGAAGGGGTGGAAGAGAGGGTGCAATTCAGAGATGCTTTCTCTTCAGGAGGGTGAGCCTTGCAAGTGCAACGGGGACATTCTAGGCGACGCACCTCAAAGTCTATTTTTGAGGCGCCTCAATTCTGGGCTGCTTATTGGGAGGGGAGAGTGCGATGCAGAGAAGCTTTCTTTATCCAGGAGAATGAACAAATGCAAGGGGACAGCCCCTTAGACTTTGCCAGGAAGAATCACTAGTGCAATGCAAGTACACAGGGCTTTTGAGGCACCTCATAAGTTAGACTTAACCAGGAAGAAACCACTAGTGCAATGCAAGCACACAGGGAGTTGCTCCCCGCTATGGGCTATCGCATAAGCAAGGTGGGTCTGTTTTTGAGGCGCCTCAGAAGCAAGGAGTTGCACTATGGGAGTTTCATCTCGACCGTTCGTTTCATCATGTGTCGAGTTTCTCACCACTCCCAGCAGGCAGTATCTCCCCAGCCATCCATCTCCACCATTCATCTCAACGTGTGCCCCGTATCTCACTGCTGTCTGCCATTCCCCCTGCAGGCGGTTACATTCTGATGGAAGAGAAGATGGCCACCTACCTGCCTGCCTTATGCCATCAGTATCCCCCCAGCCATCCATCTCCACCATTCATCTCAACGTGTGCCCCGTATCTCACTGCTGTCTGCCATTCCCCCTGCAGGCGGTTACATTCTGATGGAAGAGAAGATGGCCACCTACATGCTTACTCAACCCTTTATCCTTTCCATTCATCTCAACCGTTCTTCCAATACCTGCTAATTACTGTATGTCATTTCCCCCTGCAGGTGGTTACATTTTGATGGAAGAGAAAATGCCCACCTACCTGGTCCCTGATCTCAGTAACTTCCAGGTAACTTCCCATGGTAACATCAACCCATCATGCCTTTTTAAGTTGATTCCTCGTAATCCTTCCTCCCTGTTCCTTGCTGTTACAAGCTTCCAGGTAGATTCCCCGCTTTTGATTGCTTGCCACAGATGATAACATCCTATCATGCCTTCGAAGCTACCTACCTGCCCAAGGAACCACCAACAGCTGCTACGGGGACTGCATCGTCCATAGCAAGTGCTGGACTATCTCCGTCCCTCCTCTCTCTTCTTCCGTCCCCCCTTTTTCCACTTGTTTCCCTTCCCACCAGCTCAAGCCCTATGTCTCCCACACTGCACCCAAGAAACCGCCAACAGCTGCTACCGGGTCTGAAACAAACACAGCAAATGCCGGATCAAGATAATTAGCAATTTAGGATGCTTGTCAAGTAAAATGTGCTAACAGCAGCACCCACAGCAAATGCTGCATCGAGATGAGCAGCGGGTTATGCATACATAGTTGTACTGGATAGGACCCTGATAGACGGCCACCGAAAAAAGGGCTAACACGAGTGTAACATGTGACATCACATTTGCAGCATGCTACTAGAGGTCATGTCAAAACCGTTCCGCTTGAAAAATCACCCCACCTTGACCAACCCTTGACAGAGCCAGACAGGCCCTTTCCAAATGGCCCTTGCCCCCATCCGTTATTCATCACCCTTGAAGCAGCCTTCTTGCATAATAAAGTGTTTGCATAAACCGAATGTTACATACATATACTCAGCACTACATTACATCCTCAACACCCTATTGGAAGTAAGATCAAACAGCTTAGCAGCGTCTTCATCTGAAAGCTTCACCGTGGGAAACATCCTGCCTTGCCCCCATCCATTATTCATCACTCTAGCAGCCTTGTTAGCAGGATCGCCCACTACCCGCGTCCCCTCCCCTCCTCCCAGCTCCTCCCTTTCGGGCAACCCCAAGGCTTTTCGTGCTTTCCTCCTCTCCCTCTCCTCCTGCTGCTCCTGTCGAAGCCACCCTTCAATTATTCGCTGAAACAAGGGGAGAATTGAGGGGGGAGGAGAATGGATGAGGCTGAGAGGAGGGGAGGGGAGGGTGGTAAGAGGATGGGAACGGGATTTGTGTGAAGGCGGTGTTGGAAAAGACATCCCTATATAAGCTATACCTTCCAGTCCCTGGACGTTTGCTCAATCTCTACGTTTGTAAATTTCCAGTCGTTCCCATTTTTTCTACTGATCGACCAGACCAACTCACCATAAGAGTGGTGGAGGCCAGTTCTGGGAAACTCTGTCAGCTGCTTGGTGAACTCACTTTTGAGTTGACTCTCAAGTTGACTTGTTCAGACTAGCTCACCATAAGAGTGGTGGAGGCCAGTTCTGGGAACTCTGTCGATTGCTTGGTAAATTGCAGCCTGCCCTTTGCCACGTATGCCTGAGAGGGGATGAGAAGGGGTTGTTTAGTGTGGTGATGGGGGGTTGCAGTGAGGTGAAGAGGGGGGTAGAGGAGTGCAGAGGTGAGTCACCATAAGAGTGGTGGAGGCCAGTTCTGAGAACTCTGTCAATTGCTTGGTGAATTGCAGCCTGCCCTTTGCCACGTATGCCTGAAGGGTGGGGAGAGGGGTGGAGAGGGGTGAAGAGGAATGCAAGGGTTAGGTATCAGCATAACGGTGGTGAACGCCAGTTCTGGGAACTCCGTCAATTGCTTGGTGAATTGCAGCCTGCCCTTTGCCACGTATGCCTGAAGGGTGGGGAGAGGGGTGCAAAGGGGTGAAGAGGAATGCAAGGGTTAGGTATCACCATAAGATGTGGATTGTCCATGTCTTCAGCCCGCCGAAAATGTGAGTGGCATACACAATCGTTGCGCCTCTCTGCTCTAATCTCTCCCTTTGAAACAATGCTACTGACCGAGTGTGTACGAACAACATGCATGAGCCGCACAGCAACAAGAGCGCTGTACGTACGATGTGGGTCGGCCGCGTCTGCAGCCCGTAAAAAATGTGAGTGGCATACACAATCGTTGCTCCCCTCTGATCTCACACCAATGTGCGTGGGCCACATTCAATATGCATGCATATGGATAACAAGTACGATGTGGGTGGGCCATGTCTGTAGCCCGTCGAATATATGAGTGGCATACACGATGGTTGCTCCCCTCTGCTCGCACACCAATGTGCGTGGGCCACATTCAATATGAATGCATATGGATAGCACTTACAATGTGGGTGGGCCACGCCTGTAGCCCGTCGAAAAAGTGAGTCGCATAAACGATCGTTGCTCCCCTCTGCTCGCACACCAATGTGCGCGGGCCACATTCAATATGCATGCATATGGATAGCACTTACAATGTGAGTGGGCCATGTCTGCAGCCCGTCGAATATGTGTGTGGCATACACGATTGTTGCTCCCCTCTGCTCGCACTCCTCCCTCAGAAACGTCATCAGGTCGGCTCGACCCAACACATCCAGATCAACAGTGATCTCGTCCAGTAAGAGCACCTGCACGGTGGGGTGAGTGGTGGGAGAGGGGCGAGGGAGAAGTGAGGAAGAGGAGAGGCAATAACACCATCAGCTCGACCCAGCACGTCCAAGTCCACCGTGATTTCGTCCAAGAGAACCTGCACGGTGGGGTGAGTGGGGGAAGGGTAAGTGGCCAAGAAGAGGGGTTGAAGGGGATAGGGGAGCAGAGAGTTGCATCAGTTTAACCCCGCACGTCCAAATGCAGAAGAACCTGGTATGAATGCAGTACAGGTTCTTGGACCTGCTGGACTACCTCACAACCAAATGAGGTGACTTTTGAGTCGACTCAAAAGTCAACCTGATACGAATGCAGTACAGGTTCTTGAACCTGCTGGACTGACTCACAACCCAGTTCCCCACACACCTACACGCTTGCTTACCTTGAAGGGCTTTAACAGGCCCATTGCGATTTGAACGCGCCTCCTCTGCCCATCCGACACCTTATGCATGCGCCACTCCAGGTCGATATCCAACACCTTCATCAGCCGGTCCCCCCGCCCTCTCAGCTTGAACCACCCCACACCCCCACGCAGGTTGGTTAAGTAGGTTCATGCACACACCTTGAACGGCTTCAGCAATCCCATGGCGATTTGAACGCGCCTCCTCTGCCCGTCTGACACCTTAGGCATCCGCCACTCCAAGTCGATATCCACTACTTAGACCAGCCGGCCCCTCCTTGCAACAAATACTTCCCCCACAAACCCACATACCTAAAAAGGCTCCGCTCACACATACCTTGAAAGGCTTCAGCAGGCCCATGGCGACCTGCACGCGCCTCCTCTGCCCATCCGAGACTTTATGCATCCGCCACTCCAAGTCGATATCCAGCACCTTCATCAGCTTGTACCTCCTGGCAGGGTCAATGATTATATATCCCAAAGCCTTGCGTACCTTGAACGGCTTCAGTAGGCCCATGGCGATCTGCACGCGCCTCCTCTGTCCATCTGATACTTTGTGCATCCGCCACTCTAAGTCAATATCCAACACCTTGATAAGCCTGTCCCTCCTGGCAGCGTCCGCAGCAGCGCCAAAGAGCATCTTCCTTGCGGATATGTCCATCTGTAGCGGCACATCAAAGCCTGCGAACGCCACATCCCTGCGCCACTGTTGAAAGAAATGGAGGGCGAACGGAAGAAGAGGGAGCACAGCAGTGTGGTCAGTTGCAGCAGCACCGAAGAGCATCTTCCTGGCCGATATGTCCATCTGCAAGGGCACGTCGAACCCTGCAAAAGCCACATCCCTGCGCCACTGTAGGAAGAGACGAGTGGTAGAGGGAAGAAGAGAGGACAGGGTGCACAAGGGTTAGCTGTAGCGGCGCCTAAGATCATCTTCCTGGCCGATATATCCATCTGTAGCGGCACATCAAAGCCTGCAAACGCCACATCCCTACGCCACTGCCGTATGGAATGGGAGGGTGAGGGAAGACAAGAGAATGAGAGGCAAATAGCATCTTCCTGGCCGATATGTCCATCTGTAGCACGCAGAAGCCAAATACAAAGAGGTGGAGGGAAAGCCAAGCCGGGGTACTGACCTCGCCGCCAAGGTACGTGAGAGCGCCAGACGCCTCTAGCCCGGTATCGTGGAAGGCTCACTGGATGATAATGGTATCAGAGAGAGATGAGGGGAGCAGGGGTACTGACCTCGCCACCAAGGTACGTGAGCGCGCCAGACGCCTCCAGCCCGGTATCGTGGAAGGCTGAGCGGCCCAGGACCCGAACCATTGAGAAGGGGTACTGACCTCGCCACCCAAGTACGTGAGAGCGCCAGACGCCTCCAGCCCGGTGTCGTGGAAGGCTGAGCGGCCCAGGACCCGAACCATGGAGGGATCGACCATGTGCTTGCCTCCCAGGATCTTGAGAAAGAGGAAGGCAGAGGTACTGACCTCGCCACCCAAGTACGTGAGAGCGCCAGACGCCTCTAGCCCAGTGTCGTGGAAGGCTGAGCGGCCCAGGACCCGAACCATGGAGGGATCGACCATGTGCTTGCCTCCCAGGATCTTGAGAATGGTGGTTTTGCCTGCAGGGATGGGATGGGAAGGGGAGCGATGAGATGCATAGAGGAATCTGTCAAGCATGCAAATAATTGACGGATTGACCATGTGCTTGGCGCCCAGGATCTTGAGAATGGTGGTTTTGCCTAAAAGGACGGAAAGAGATGGGTTCAAGCGCGAGGTTTGAAAGTAAGACGAGACGCATGGCGGAAGCAGGGAGAGATATTAAGAAGCGCGGGAGCCATGGATGGATCAGCCATGCTTGCCGCTCAAGAAACCGTGATCACCGGGAAGCAGCGTGAGTAAGCAATCGTTCCTAAGTCAAATAGTCGACTTTTGAGACGTCTCAAAACCAGGAAGCAGCGTGAATAAGAAACCGTTCTTAAGTCAAATAGTCGAGTACAACTTTACTTACCTCCTCCGTTCGCGCGACCAGGAGACATCGATGACCCGGGTGCAGCGTGAGGGGGAAGCCAAACCTCCTGCCTGATATTGAAGCCCACATACCTGCGCCATTCGCGCCGACGAGGAGGCAGCGATGGTGCAGCGTGAGGGAGGAACCAGAACATGAGCTGACTCATAACACAACTTTCCATACCTGCGCCATTCGCGCCGACAAGAAGGCAACGATCGCCGGGGTGCAGCGTGAGGGAGAAGCCGTCGATGAGCGGCTTGGCGCCGGGCGGCGGCTGGCCGTCGATTCCGGGATACGTGAACTGCAGGTTCGTGACCTCGATGTTCGGCGGGTGTTGCGCGGTCTCAGCGATTTCAGGAACGGATGGAGCCATGGTGGGAACGCGACGCGATGAAGTTGAAGGTTAGTGTTTAGCACTTGATTGGACTAACAAGACGAGGAGTCAGGAATGACGAAGGACGAAGGGATTGGAAAAAGCGAAGCGCTGAACGTGACGGTATACGGTTCGCAAAGTGAGACGGAGCGAAGTGGCGGTACTAGCGAGAGAAGAGTATTGAGCAAGTCGAGATATACTCGGAGAACGCTCACAACCTCACGAGCAAGTCACGACGAAGCTGATTAAAGCAAGAGCGCGTGAGCCCACTACGAAGCCTACAAGCCCGTCGAATTAATAGTTACAATGGTGGAATGAAGCACACGATCCTCTCGCTAATGGAAGGAGGTGTGTACGACTAGCGAGTTCCGACCTCCCAAAAGGTGAGTGATGGAATCCCAAGGTCAGAGTTCCCCAAGGCAGGATTCTTGAGGCGGGGGGTACTGTACCTCGTGGCTGGTTGCTGGCTGTCCACGTCTTGTGCGAACTTCTTCACTTTCCTGAGACTGCTGGTTACCTGCCCGAATCCAAAGATAACCTTTTTCTCCAGGGGGACTCACGCGATCACAAGCTTTGCGCGGGTAGAAAATGGGTTTTTGCTGACCTGATTGGAAGAGGCGACGCGCCGTGCGGGGTCGCAATTGGTCTAGGAAAAGCATGGACGACACTAGACGACGGCCGGGCTGGGCTGGGCGACTGCCACGACACACCAAGGTTGGTTGGTCGACAACTCAAGACGACTTCGAGGATTTCGCAAATTGGGGTATGGCGACGACGGGTAACTGAAATGTCGGAACTCCGCGAAACCCCTGACAGCACTGACAGGTTTTCCCGCCAGAATGTTCCCGCAAATTTTTATTCGAGGTCACACAGGCTTGGCGCAAGGCTGCTCGTGACCCCGAGTCCCCGTGTCCTCCCCCTGTACTGCTGCGCAACAGATTCCCAAAACTCTCCCGCGCTTTTTCCCCCACCATTCCACCTCCACCTCCGCCTCCGCCTCCGCCTCCACCATTTCCCCCTCCGGCTTGCGCGCGCCATTCAAGACTCACTCAGCATTTCGGCAGCCATTTCTTGATTCTTGAGATTTTGGTCGCATACACATAGCTACTTCATTCATTCCTCCTTATTTCAAAGTAGTTTCAGAATCCAAATACTGTCAGTTTGCGAACGAACGTGTAGTACGGACCATCTTTACCATCTATTTCTACGCGTAGTTTTCCTGCATCCATGGATGTAAGTTTTGTTTCCGATTTTTTCACTACCAAGTTTTCTCGCACTCCTTACCCAACGTTTCGTTGCTCGTTCGTTAAATTCCAAACTAATCTCGCAGTAAGAATGTTGATATTGTCACCATGCTACGTTACGGATTGCTTAAATGCAATCAGATTCGTCAGAGTCTGGCAACCACATCTACATTTCCTATGCAAACGCTGGCTGTCGTCTCAAATTATCCTCCAGAATGCCACGGTCATTCTTATTAAGCTACATGACATTCTTACGTTCCCTCTTATCGTCCTTCCATTTTGATCGAATTGTTGCATTTTCAGGATCCAGAGCTCGAAGCCATTCGCCAGAGGCGCATGAGGGAAATAATGGCCGCTCAGGCCGCACAGGTACGAGCTTGCAGTCTCTGCGCAGTCCGCACAGGTGCGAGCTTGCAGTCTTCGCACTGTCTGCACAGAAGCACATGTCATTTACACGAGAAATTCGCATCAGGGAGGGATTGGAAAAAGCATGAGGGAGGGAGCTGAAGCTGGAAAGAGCATTTTCACAGAGCTAATCTGCAGATTTTGCTCATAAACGCATGTAACGTGAATTAGCGTCAGGAAAGGAACCGGAGCTGGTAAACGCATGCCGTTGGACTTGAATACGATGCAAAAGTTTGCCCTTCTGCAAGTTTGCACATCTAAGAATCTTTCCGTGCTTCCTGTGTGGGAATGGTGTTGTGTCTTTCAGGCAGGGAGGGGAGCTGGAGGAGGCATGCCGTCTGCCGCTGGTGGTCAGCAGGATGAGTCGAAGAAACAGTAAGTAGTACGAGTCACATGGATCATGGATGAGTCAAAGAGGAGGTGAGTAGAAACGAGTCACATGGATCATGGATGGGTCAAAGAAGGTATGGTGTATCATGGACTCATGAGCGCTTCGCCTCTTCCATCTCTTTGATTTTGATTGAAAGATTTTTTTCGGTTGTTGTCTGCCTGCCTCTCCTTCTTGTGCTTGCAGGGAAGCTGAGGAGAGGCGACAGATGATGCTGGCTCAGCTGATGGACTCGAGTGCCAGGGAACGATGTGAGTGTGCGCGGTCTGATGTTTGATGTAGTGTGACAGAAGCGAGTGTAACAAATGCGGATGGGACAGAAGTGAAAATGACCATTGGAGACGGGACCGAGGAGACAGATGATGCTGGCCCAGCTGATGGACTCGAGTGCCAGGGAACGATGTGAGTTGCAATGTGGAGTGTGACAGAAGCGAATGTCGCGGAAGGGAAAGTGACTGTTGGAAGTGACTGTTGTAACATGGGAGACAGATGTTGCTGGCCCAGCTGATAGACTCGAGTGCCAGGGAACAATGTGAGCCGTTTAATGCAGTGTGACAGAAGCGAGAGTGACAGATGCGGGAGTGGCAGAAGCAAAAGTGTCGATAAAGAATCAGAGGAAATTGTAGCAAACAGACATGTGGCAGATGGGGTTGTGGGCAACGGTAGAGTGAAGTGAACTGCACGAAGCGAGACAATACAGGATGGGCTGAAGCATGCACGCATAGTAGGCTAAACCCACTCCCCCCCATCCTCCCCTCTCCCTTGCCACATTGGCTCAATAACCTCCCATCCGCCGCTCTGCTTGCCACATTGCATCAATTGCATCCCTTCCCCCCCTATTCTCCCCTCTCCCCCCTTTCTCCCCTTGCCACATTGCATCAATCACCATCCCCCCCCTTCCCCCCTCTCCCCCCTTTCTCCTCTTGCCACACATTGCATCAACTACCATCCCCCCCTCTCCCCCGTTTCCCCCCCTCTCTCTTATTGGTTCAATACCCCCCCATCCTCCCCTCCCCTTGCCAAGGCGCAGGAATTCAAGGCGCCTCTGGTGGAACCCACTCAGCCCCCTCTGCCCACCTCCGCCTCCCTTTCCCCCACCCGTGCAGTGGCGCGCATCGCCCTGGTGAAGCCTGAGAAGGCACATTTCACTCCTCGTCTGAACCCCTCTTTCCCCCTCTCTCCCCCTCTCTTCCCGCTGTCCTCTCTCTTCACCCACCCATGCAGTGGCGCGCATTGCCCTGGTGAAGCCTGAGAAGGCGCGGGCAGTGGAGGATCTGATCATCAGAAGGGCTGTGAAGTGTTGTGCTTGTGTGGACAACCTCTCTGCCTGCCTCTGGTCCCGTCTTCAACACCCCCTCCCATGCAGTGGCGCGCATTGCCCTGGTGAAGCCTGAGAAGGCGTGGGCAGTATGGCTGCAGGGTTGTGACGTGTTCCTCCCCCTTCTGCCTGCCTGCGCCCCCTGTCCCCCACCCGCTTGCACAGTGGCGCGCATTGCCCTGGTGAAGCCTGAGAAGGCGTGGGCAGTATGGCTGCAGGGTTGTGACGTGTTCCTCCCCCTTCTGCCTGCCTGCGCCCCCTGTCCCCCACCCGCTTGCACAGTGGCGCGCATTGCCCTGGTGAAGCCTGAGAAGGCACGGGCAGTGGAGGATCTGATCATTAGGGGGGCGCAGACAGGGCAGCTGGCGGAGAGGGTGAGTGTGGGTGTAGTGGGTGTGACTTTAATGGGTGTGTGTGACAGTAATGGGTGAGTGTTACTAGCGAATATTGGTTTATACATACAGCAGTGGAGGATTTGATCATCAGAGGGGCGCAGACAGGGCAGCTGGCGGAGAGGGTGAGTTGTGACTGTGATGTGTGTGATTGTCACTGTAATGATTGACTGTGATTGTAGCGAGTGTTAGTGTAGGGCATACAGCAGTGGAGGATTTTATCATCAGAGGGGTGCAGACAGGGCAGCTGGCGGAGACGGTGTGTGGTGACTGTAATGTGCGAGACTGTAGTGAGTGTGACTGTAAGGAATGTCAGTCAAGGCCATACAGTGGTGGAGGAATGTTAGTGAGGGGCGCAGACAGGGCAGCTGGCGGAGAAGGTGAGTTGTGGGTGTGACTAGTGGGTGAGAGTGGAGGTTGAGTGTTACTGTAGCGAGTGCTAGTGAAGGACATTCAGCAGACAGGGCAGCTGGCAGAGAGGGCGAATTGTGGCTGTGCTGTGTGTGACAGTGGTGAGTTTGACTGTAGTGCATTTTTTTGGGATGAGAAGCATACAATAATGGAGGATTCGGTCATTAGAGGGGTGCAGAAAGGGCAGCTGGCGAAGAGGGTGTGTCGTGGCTGTGGTGGGTGTGTTTCTAGTGAATTCTTTTGTCGTAAAGGGCACACAGCAAAAATTGGAGGGGCGCAGATGCAGCAACTGGCAAAGTGGGTGGGTGCTGTTGTAGTGAGTGTGGCTGTAGTGGGTAGGTGTGACTGTAGTGGGTAGGTGTGACTGTAGTGGGTGGGTAGGTGTGACTGTAGTGGGTGGGTAGGTGTGACTGTAGTGGGTAATTGTGACTGTAGTGGGTAATTGTGACTGTAGTGGGTAATTGTGACTATAGTGGATGTCGTTGTGACTGTAGTGAATGTCGTTGTGGCTGTAGTGGATGTCATTGTGACTGTAGTGGATGTCATTGTGACTGTAGTGGATGTCATTGTGACTGTAGTGGATGTCATTGTGACTGTAGTGGATGTCATTGTGACTGTAGTGGATGTCATTGTTCGCAATCAAGGGAAGACAGCAGTGAGATACCTGGTCAACAGAGGGGCGCAGACAGGGCAGCTGGTGGAGAGGGTAAGTTTGACTTTAGTGAATGTCTTTGTAATGAAGGGGATACATCCTGATGGGCCTTGACAGGGCAGCTGGCTGAGTGGATGAGTGTGACTGTACTGTGTCCAATGTTGCGTGTGACTGTATTGTGTCCGATGTT